AAGGCGGGCGAGGATAAACAATCACAAGCCGGTTGTCTCACGGTGAGGCCGAAAGACAACTAACCCGAGCTTCTCGGCGGAAAACTGGCCGAGTGAAGCGAATATGCCGAAGGGAGGCGGGTGGACAAGGGAGTTTTGTGACGCAAACATAAGCAGATGAGGCAAGGAGTGGACGAATGGACACAATTATCTCATCCCATTCACCTGAATGTCGTATATTCACTTCTGATGACCGCTTCATTGGTATCCAGCAGATGATCGCAAAGGCCGGATGATGTTGAATAAAAAATTCCTTCGAATCAACATACTACTCATGCCAGCTGCAGACTACTATCCGCCCATTTTCCCTGCCAACCGGGCAGCTGGTAGGGGATTGTCAAGCCGTATCAAGTCCGACTGTCAGCGAATCTGCCCATGATGAATTGATGGGAATTCTTGATTTTCGCCTCAACTATAGACTCACACTTGATCCCGCACTTCACGTCAGATGGCAGTCCGAGTTGAGCAGGTTTAGAGCCCTATTTTGACACAATTTTAAGCGCGTTTTCACAATCAAGTAAAGAGAAAGCCCGAATCTTGTTTGTAACTTTCGCGTCAGCATTTCATCCGCCATGTCAGCAGAATTAGAGCCCTCACTTTGAGGCTTAAGAGACAGAATAGCTCTCAAGGAAATACAATCTGGTCAGCCTCAACAACACTCACGCCTCAGTCGGCTGTGAAAATAAATTAGTACCAATCACTATTTTGAGTATTTTAGGGCACGATTTGCATGAGACCTCATAAACCACCACGGGTTCTCATCGGGTACCAGGATAGCTGTAACCCTCATTCATACAATGACTTTTGTCGACAAGGCCAACATCTTAACATACTACTATATTCTAAATAAGTAGATACGTGGAGAAACTGGCTTTCGAGGAATCTCCTGAGATAACATTGTCGGGGAGACTTTCATTTTGTATGAAAATGCATGAAGAACAGATCCAGAAAAGTACGGCTCAATTGCGTTGTGCTGCAGTCGTTTGGCTTTTATACGACGTTGTGTTTGACGCTAGCACACACAAAAGCTCGAGCAAACATAGCATGACCAATATGAAAGATAATTAGCCAAACAATTCTAAATCAGTTATAAGATGTATTCACCCAATTTCGTTTAAGGTGATGAATGACTGGTAGAAGTAGAATTTTCCCACAAATGATATGAGTTGAGCTGACGTTTCCATTGAATTTTTACATACCTTTACA